CAGAGCTTCTAGATATCTTGAAAATTTGTTTCTCTGACCTCATTATATTGGTAGACAGGTTCATAAATCTGATTTTAAGCAGAGCAGAGACACAATTAGGGACAGCTTCAGATGTAAAGGTGACACAGATTTACTGGGATATGCAATATGCATTAAAATATATTAACAAGTTTACAAGAAAAAAAAAAGCTGTGCTATAGTGAAATTCAGCGTATCTTACTTGTCTTCTGTAGTTCAGCAAGACTCAGAAAAAGCTGTGCTAGCCAACCCTGAGACAGCCAGACTCACAGGACACAGACTTAAATTTAAAATGTAAGAAACCTGCAATAATTAAAGCACAAAAAATAAAAATCAGTGTATAAATTATTTTGGAATATAAGGATACAATTAGGGCTGCAACTAACGATTATTTTAAAAATCGATGAATCGGCCGATTATTTTTTCGATTAATCGATGAATCGGAAAAAAAATATTTTTTATATTAACCTCTTTATTCCAAAATAAACATTTTAGACAGAACAAACAAGCACACAAGTACAGGTTGCTCATTAACTGTACTGGTGCAATATGAAAAATAAATGTTTGTGTTAAAACTACTCAAACTTACATGAGAGTAAAAAATGTAGCTGTACATCCACAAAATATAGGCTACTTTGTTTCATAAAGTGCAAAAAAAGACAGTTTTGTTTTTAAAAGCCCCTAAGGGGTTCAAACAATAGGCCCCCCCATGTCAACAAATGAGTTTTTTTAGACTAGAAGAGTTCTGCCTTTTAAGACAGGAAAGTATAGCAGTTAAAGCCACAGTGTGTAATTTTCAGCGACATCTAACGTCCAGACTGCAGACCGCAGCAACATGAACATCTCCCCCCCCCACCGCTTCTCCCCCCCAACAGTACGGCGAGCGTTACGGGACAAAATGTCTTCCATGACGTCCGCATCACCTACCTTCTCAAGTGATGAGGTTTGTTTACATAGATAATTTACAGATAGTATTTCATTAGTCTGTGTAGGGTATAGATTTCAGTACCGTTTTAGTTCATCTCTCTCAACTTGCCGTAGTTACTTTCGAGCGTAATGGGCGATCTCGCAATCGCTAGTTTGTTGGCTCTGCGCTGCCGTAGCGCAAAGATGTCTGCCTCCATGGCTGCGAGACCCGCTCCAATGTTATTATAAATAACAAATTCTAAGGCAACGCAAATATTAAGGTTAAGAGGCTGAGCTCGTAGATGATGATAAATAACATAGTTATGTATAATATATTAGATTTCTGACTGTATATTCCTGTAATTATTACACACTGTAGCTTTAAAGTTGCTACTTGAGAAAATACTGAACCATAGAGATAAAAATAGCCCTGTGATTCAAATTATAAATTGTATTTGGAATAAAAATGAGAGAACTAGGGGTGTTAAAAAAACACATCCTCCAAAGACAGATATTTACATGGGAATGTGGCATATAATTAATTGACATATTACTGATCTTGCTGGATTTTATTCTGCTTTACTTCCATAAATTGCACGATCTTCTTTACTTTATTTTTGCTAGAAGATTTAAACTTTAAAAGCTTTGCCCTCATAATTTGCAACTTCATTTATTCATAAAGTAAATATAAACGCTGCTTAAGCTAATTCAAATGAAATTAAAAGTAAAATAAGTAGCCAACCTTATCACTGTCTGTAACCTACTAACAAGGTAAGGAAAGCATCAGATGAGAAACTAACGTTACGTTTCCCCACTTTAAAACTAAACAAACATGGCCGCTCATCCTGCTGATCAGCTCTCTTCACTGCCATCGAAGGCTCCAACGTGTTTCCTTTTCAGGTGCTTCTGTGTTATGTTAATTTGTTTTTACAAAAGTTGCATGTTACAACTTTTTTCGCTTTACAAAGCGCAGGCTATTTTAATTCATTAATTGATTTACGGTCTCCGCCAAGTGACATCAATTGTTTACCTCAGGCGCGGTACACTACGCCTTTTCCACCTAAAATGGCGTCTTAGCAACAAATGTCACGTGACTGGTGGAGACCGGATCGGTCAATCCCGGCGCATGCGCACTTCATTTGCAGTCTGGACGCTGAGGGTAAACATCCTGCAGCTCTGACTGCAACGCTGAGAGGGACTCCTGCGGGAGCGGGAGAACGGGGTTGGGATGGGGGAGGCGCCTGACGGTGGCTGATGACACATTGATCGCGCGACACAACTAATCGATGATGAAATTCGTTGCCAACGCTTTTAAAAGTCGATTTTTATCGATTTTATCGATTCGATGTTGCAGCCCTAGATACAATATATACACATTGGCTTTCAACGACATATGGGACAAATTTCTAAATATGATTTTGTGAAGGAGGATATTCACAGATGCTGTTTAAAGGGAAGCCATGCATGGATGGATGGATGGAATTGAAGTTGTGTCCATACTAGGGATGGAACGGTTTATGAAAACCATCCGAACCGTTCGGTTTGACTGTCTCGGTTCGGTTTGCGTGTGTTGCGTTCGGTTCATGCGCTGCTCCTTTTTTTCATAGGCGAAGCGTTTACACTACAGAGCAGAAGGTGGCGGTACTGCGACCAAAGCAACCACCAGTAGTAAACAAGAAGAAGAAGAAGTGAAGCAGCGTAGCTGGGTGTAGCAGAAAAAAATCAACCAAAATCCAACATACTCCATCAGCGCTCCGCTCCGCCCCGCTGCGCTCCAGACCGCCTGCACAAAGCAAAGCCTACAGCCCCCACTGTGGCTCCCGTCCGCTCTGCTCTGAGTTCCTTGGAGATCGTAGAGGGCATGCGCGAGATGATTAAATTCAAAGCAGCAAAACATGCGGAAATGATCCAGGGTTTCATTAAAAATAATTACAATTCATTAATTTTTTTGTATTTTTTTCATTAATTTTATTAATTTCTATGGGATTTCGGTGTAACAATCTACATATACCGAATCGAACCAAAAACCGCGAACCGAAACCAACCATGGATTTTGTGAACCGTTCCACCCCTAGTCCATACTAGGGATGCATGATATATTGATGTTGGCATTGGAAATCGGCAGTTATTCATAATTTTTTATACATTAATGTTTTTGAGCCCTTAATAAATAAAGCATTAAAGGCGGGCATCTGTTTATAACTATAAATATCAGTGTACGGTGGTACTCTTGTGTTCTCAACAATAGGAAAGCATTCAATAAATATGTGTTTGAGCTTTGAGCATATTTGGAAAATATAAACCCTTTTGAAAGCGTTCGGGTTGAGTAGCTGTAGGTCCATCAGCCACTATCCTTAGAGCGTTCATGCCAACTTTTATCACAAAGTTACACCCTTGCAGCTTTGGAAAGCCAGCAGGTCATGGGAAAGAAAGAGAGAAGGAGGTGATTTCATTTCGCCAGTAAATATATCATTCAAAGCATGGCTAGCAATAGGATGCTCATCGTCCTCAGCAAGCATTTCAAGCAACTGTCACTAGGAATTAATTTTACTGTCGGAGCCCACATAAAACTATTGATGCACCGGGGCAAAATAATAGAATCAAATAGTACTACATTTTTCTTGAGGCAGCCTAGCTGTGTTGCTCATGTTGCATTATGAAGAATCCTGGTTACGGCCCTGAGAGGGAGCTTGGTTACTTACTTTAGTAAAGGCTCTTATTAGCAGATGTTATAAATCATCCAGCAGGATGTTAACATTAGAGACAGATTCTGGAACCTAGAGGGAAATTCCTTTCTTATCTGTAGCTAGCAGCTGCTATCTCATGATTTTTTCTGGCATCTCCTTCACATAACAAGAAATATAAAGAAGTCACTTTTTGATTTTGCAAGAACAGTTGCTTAAGCCCAGTGAGCGATGTAAACTTTTCACCTGCTAAAGTTGGTCGAATCTGCTCCTGTTTATATCCTTTAAAGCAGCATAGTTAAAATATTATCCTGAATAAAGTATTTTAACTAGTTAGATAATACTTGTAATAGATTCCACTGCTTTAGAAAGAAGCTGCTGTGTTTATGTGTTCAGCTTTACTGTTTGAGAATCTCCTCATCTGTTGCTCTATAATACCTGACCTCACCAGGGAGGCAATCATAGAACTAAAACTAGCAGAGACTGAGGGTGGAAGCAGCTTCTTTTACAGCACGTCAGGAACAACAGGTTCTGTTCAGATTACAGTACAGGGAGGGCCAAACGGTCCAACCGACCTGGGAGCTCAGAGGACCACTGCTTCAGCAGGAGGTTCCCCACCAATCACATTGTGAAGTTTGCAGACGACACCAAGGTGGTGGGCCTCATCAGAGAGGACAACGACCAGGACTACAAAGAGGAGCAGCTGGTGGGCTGGTGCAGAGATAACAGCCTGATCCTGAATGTTGAAAAAAGGAAGGACATCACTGTTGGCTTTAGGAAGAACCGTCCTAACCACGCTCCACTGGTCATCAGCTCAGCTGTAGAGGTGGTCAGCAGCACCAACTTCCTGGGGGTGCACATCACAGACACGTTCACCTGGAATTTAAACACCACCTCACTGGTAAAAATGGCACAGAAGCGCATGTACTTCCTGTGGAGGATGAGAGCCCACCTGCCCCCACCCATCCTCACCACCATAGAGAGCGTTCTGACCAGCTGTCTCACTGTGTGGTGTGGAGGCTGCAGCACCTCAGACTGGAAGAACATGAGGAGAGTGGCTTCATCCCAGTGCTGCGTGACACGAGCCCGTAACATTATCAATGACCCCCCACACCCCCACCATGGACTGATGACTGCTGCCCTCTGGAAATAGTCTTTATAGCATTTGATGCAGGTCCAGCACATTCTGCACAGCTTCTACCCCGCTGCCATCAGGCTGTTACTGTTTAACTCTAAACTGGACTCTGCATCCCACTTGCAACATTATGCTGCACTACCAATGTACCTGAAACTTTTACAACCCTTTAAAATAGAACAAAACTCAAAATTCTATTGCATTTTGTACCATATTTATTTTAAATTGCCATATTTTTTAAAATTGTTTTCCTTTTCTGCTACACTGTTTACATCCTGATCACTGCCACACTTTATAATGGTAATGCTCATTTCACTATTGGAAGCAATGTAATTTAGTTTTGTATACACTCTGTGTATAGAAAATTACAATAAAGCTCAGCACCATCAGTGTGTGAGGGAACGATAGAATGTGGTGTAAAGCGCTTTGGTCAAATCTCCTGACTAGAAAAGGCTCTATATAAGTGGAGGCCATTTATCATTTATTTGTATTCATCAGAGCACATGAGCTTCAGAAGTGGATCACAGGGAACATCAGAGTTCTTCAGACACCTTATCAGAGAAACCTTTAGTGAAATATTTGAGGACTTCCTTCTGGTTGTAGAGATGTTGCAAAACCTCTGAGGTAAACATTTATCAGCACGTCTGTTTCTTCTACCAAAAACGTCTGAATATTGAAGGTAAGGACCAGCTTCCAGACTGAGCTTCTCTCTGATAAATCAGGCTGCCATCCTGTGAGATCTCCTGGATCTTATCCAGCAGCTCCTGGACCTGCTTCCTGTCCTCCATCTTCTTGTTGTTGAACACGTGGTACTGGCCGCTGCAGCTCTTCAGCAGCTTCTGAAGGTTGGTGTCCTCCCTGATGAACTGCTCCATGTCGGTGTCTTCCAGTCGGTCTCCGTAGGTGAACAGCAGCATGGTGTGTTTGGAGACATCAGGACCCAGCATCTTCTGCAGCACCTCCATTCCTTTCTGCTCCTGGGGGGTGAACCTTCCCAGCTGCAGGGTGAGCAGGAAGACGTGAGGACCAGGAGAGCTCAGCTCCAGCGCTTCCAGCAGCTTCTTCTTCACCTGCTCTGCAGGCATGAGGCTGCTGAAGAGGCCCGGGGTGTCCACCAAAGAAACTCTGCGACCTTCAACATCACCTTCTACCTTCTGAGGGTTCAGGGTCACAGGGACGGAGCTGAACCGGCAGTCCAGCTCCTTCCTCCCCAGGATGGTGTTTCCTGCTGAGCTCTTCCCGACTCTCTCCTGACCCACCAGCACCACTCTGAGGTCTGAGCCTGGAAACAACAGACTTCATCAGAACCTCTGGGATTATCTGGGCCACTGCTCACACATCCACAGTCAGAGGAGACATGCAGCTTCAAAAATGATCAGAGTCTGGTTTTCTGAAAAATCTTTTATTAATACATCAGATACAGAAGCTGCAGGAGGAAGTCTGTCATCAACACAAACACAATGGAAGTTTGACTCCTGCGTTTCATAATCTGTCCTTTAACACGACTCCTCCTACGGAAGCATAAGAAAAAAAGCTTTAAGCCACAATTTTCCTTTTTCCAATTTATGTCGTTTTAATTTCAATTCAGTTTATTCAAGCAGTAAATATTCTCAACAAAAGTCGTCTAAGGCTGAAAACCTCCAATGTTACACAGAGACATTAAATCAGTTGGTCCAACAGTACAGAGACATGAATGAAAACATTCTGGTTCTTTTATTTCATACAGATTAAATCTCAGCTGATTGATGGTTTCAATCATTTGTTTCTGTTATTTAGGATTATTTTATGGCTTAAAAAATAATATTTAAGATTTGTTTAATGCATCAGATCTTAAACAGAAATGTGAAACAGTTGGATGAACACCTGTCTGTCTAAAACCATGTTCTGATTTATGAACATGACTTCATCAACAAACACTGCAGCCGAGTTCAGCCTGTTAATCTGATGAAACCTGACAGATTGCATCAAATTAACTCCAACAAGCTTCTAAATTAACATCATATCCCATGAAACTGTGAGGAAAAGAAAAACTCGACAGGAATCAAGTCTTGATTTTATTTATGACTGATCTTCAGCCACCAGAACTCTACTCCAAATTTCAGAGCATCAGGATCGATTAGGAGCGCTGGTCAGATGCATAAAATAACTGGTTTTAACAAGGTGACCATGTAACCTTGTGGTTGATGGTTCTTGCTGCTTTAGGACCGGTTCTACCGGCTGCTGGACTGAGTGAGGACTTTGTTTTTTATCACTGAAATTACCTGAATATTTCTAAAAATGTTTCTCTGTTTCAGATTTTTGAGATAAATTTGAAAGAAATCTAGTTAATCTATGAGCTCCTTCAGGCCGATCAGCACTAATGATCAACCATCAACCTGAAGCTTCTCTGGAATTAAACATTTAAAGTTGTTAAAATGATGCAGGAAACAAAAAGCATCATGCTGATGTGTTAATGATTAAATAGAGAAGTATAACCAAACATTCACTGTATGACACAGGCATCATTCTTCACAGCTGCAGTTATAGCTCCTACTGCCAGTCCCACACCAGCTCCAACAACAACTCCAACGGGACCAGCAACAGCTCCAACTGTAGCTCCAAGCTTTGCGCCACCAGCAATTCCTGCACCAACAGCAAGGCCAACTCCTGCAGCCCCTCCAACAACTGCTCCAACCTTTACTGCATCCCGAATAAACTGGTTATCCTCCTCCGCCTTTCTCCTTGCATCGTTAGGATCCGTACCTGGGTTGCTTCTCTGAATTCTCTCAGTCTCTGCTCTTATAGCTTCCTCGGCTTTTTGTAACATATCGTTGGTGTAGAAGCTTCCTCCATTTTTCTGAACCATTGTGTTGATCTTCCTCAGCAGCTCTCGGACATGAAATGGTTCCCGGTTTCTGTTGTTGAAGACGTGATAACCTCCCCTACACTGATTGACGAAAGCGCAGAGAGGTGAACTTCTATGAATGAAGTCCTCTATGGAGACCTCTTCCTCCTCCAAGTCATCCCCATGAGTGAACAGCACCATGGTGTAAACTGCTGCCTTCTCTCCAAACACCGTCTGAATTAGTTTGACAGTTTTTTGTTCTTCTTCTGTGAATCTATTTGGTTGGATCACAACCAGGAACACATGAGGACCAGGAGCAGCATATGAGATGCATCTAACTATCTCTCTTTTCACCTCCTCCTGGTTTCTGGTGTCAAACAGACCTGGAGTATCAACCACTGCCAGAGTCTGACCCTCAAACTCTCCGATTTCTTTCTTACAAACTGATGTTAGGGAGGAAGGAGACAGCTTAGATTCAAAAGCTTTCCTTTTTAGGATGGTGTTTCCTGTTGCACTCTTCCCAACTCCAGTTTTTCCAACAAGCACCATCCTGAGGTCTGGTTGCCGTGGTTCTGTTGGAGAACAACACATTAATGAGGATGATAGTGACTGGAGGTCAATGCAGTTCCTCTTATTAAGCTGTGTTTGACCCAGTTGACCATAGCTTGGTGACTGGTAGACCGGGACAAGGTGGGATCAGATCTGGGACTGTACAGATCAGGTCTACTTTGATCACACATGAAGTTCCCCATGGAACCGTTCTTTAATGAGTTTTAAAACTTTGACTAATTGAGCATGTAGAGTAAGAAAATATGTCTAATGATGCCATATGCTGATGACACTCACCTTTATAGCTATTAGCACAGGACCGCTGTCTCTTACAGACGCTGAGTAAATCAGTCTATACTAACAGTCAGTTGATGGGTAAATATTTAATCCAGTTTGGTGCTGAAAGGTCAGACGTTCTTCCTTTTGGATCAGGACATTTTAACATGGATAGAGACCCAAACCCAGCTTGATCTAGTGAGGCTAAGATCTACAGAGCATGTCAGAGAATTTAAAGTTAGAGACTTTGTTCAATTCTAACATCCATATAAACCCTCTTCTAAAATCCTCCTCCTGCTATCGTCCAGTGTTTGATTTATTATTGCTTCAGCAATAGATAATTGAAACACTTTCTTCTCTGGTTTCTGTAAGTTCTCAGTTGTTCTCCTGATCACTGCAATGATGTCCTGTCTTTCAAAACACATATACGCTATAACCTCGCTGATGGTCTTTAATAGAACTGAATAGTCTTTGGCATTTAAATCATTTGGATCCCATCAGTCTTTAATTATCTAAACTCCTCAGCCCTGAAACAAACTCCCTTAAAACCCTAACTTCTTCAAAAACTGTTCTTTAAATCAGGATAAAAAACATGACTGTTTTCTGAAGGTTTCCAGCAAAGATCTAAAAGTTTCAGGTTCAGCTCTTTGGACTCCCAGTGTTGATCTGCTGAGGTTTATTTATTTATTATTTATTTCATTTCTATTTATTGGGGTGAACTTTAGTGACTAGGGTACGAAAGCCCCGAAAGGAAAAAAGCTGAGAGAGAAGCAGGAAAAATTACAGCCACCTGTATACAGACTTAAACATTAAAGTTGTTTTTCTGTTGAGTCCTTAAAGTCAAGAAATAAATTTATCCTGGGGAGGCTTATTTTCTGTGCTAGTCTATGTTGTAATACTTTACATCACCACTAGAGGGCATGGAGTAAGACCTTAGGCATTCGACAAGAGCTGCATTGTTCAGATAAACAAAGGATGGGCTCTAGAATATCCCAGTTTAACACTAAATGAGAAGTTGAAAATGATTTAGTGTCTGATCATAACTCTGTCTGGTTGAATAGTAAAAGTTTATGGATTTTAAGTTCGATCGGTTTATTACGCCCTGTTTTGTCACTTATTAATGGAGGCTGAATTCTGCAAACTTGGCTTGTGCTCATTTATATGGTTTCACTTTCTTTTCACAAATGTAATAAAATGTAATTTCAATAATTTGAGCTGAATTCATCGCCCAGCTGCCATTCTGCTTTACACTTGATGGACCACACCGAGCCCAGAGGGAGATCTATTCCACACACTGATTGTTTTTGCCAGTTTACTTATTGCTAAAGGTAGAATTGAAAGCTGCTTTCCACTGTGTGATGAACTGAGCTTAACCATCTTTTTTCACCTTCCTGTCTACAGTCTTTATTTCCTGGCTGAAGGGAAAAGTCAGAAAGAGTGGAATATAGAAATTATATAAGTAGACGCCTCATTGGGCCGGCAGACGTGCCTAGGAGGTTATTATCTTGGATTGACCAAAATATCATATTAATATTAGCTGCAAATTGTATAACTTTGCTTACATCTCATCTAGTTTGAGTTCAGTTTCAATAGTTTTTAATCTGAATATGTGCAATCTAACTGAAAGGTAATTTTAAAATTTGTTTTGGTCTTTTTAGGGGTTGTAAAATGTAAGAGATTATTGTAATATTATCTCTGACTCATCTGTCTTGTGATTAAAATAAGATCTGAGGCGTCTCCTATTCATTCTGACAGCAGCTGTCTGAACTGTGTCCGATCCAAGGTGGCCGCCCTCTAGGCATGTCGGTTCTACGAATGTAATGTCTATAGAGAGGGAGGCTTAGAAATGTTCTGCCAGGAGCTCCTTCCTGGTTGCATTGAGTCTGCTTGCAGCAGTTAGAGTAAACAGGAAGTCTGTGCTCTCTGAACTGAACCCTGCAACTCTTGGGTTGAGGCACCAAGTTACAGATGTACAATATTTCTCAGTTACTAACGAGATGCAAATGTTTCAGGTGCAGAGCTTTTCTGTCTCTAGCATTTTTTTAATTAACCATAGGCATAGTGACTAAGGCTGGTAGACTTGTACTCACAAGGCATTGTGCTGGCCATGTCTGCTGTAGAAGGATGCTGATCTCTTCTGATGCTTTACAATGAAGGAGCTGTTATATCTGCTTTCTGACTCCTCCCTCTAAACCAGGGGTAACCAATTAAAAATCAGCAGGGTCCGAATAAAGAAAATCATCAACCAGTAAAGGTCCGGAGACATTTTTAATTATAATCTGTTACTTTGAACAGAATTTAACACTAAAATAAAATGAGGTGTTCATGCATCTGTGTTTTTCATTGACTTTTTAAATAAAAAAATATAAATAAATAAAAAAAAACAAAAAAAAAAAGAATATTTTTCTATTTTAAAATCTAAAGTGTTTTTTGAAGTAGAGAACAATAATTGTTCAGTTTGGTATAAAGACAATTTCTTGGTTCACATTTACAAAGCACCTGAACTGCCTTTTTATTTATTTATTTTTTTCAATTTTCATCGCTTAATGACAGCAGTGGGCTTTATGCTGCCCTGCAAGGCTTTAAACCTGGGTTTGAATGGAGGCAAAGCCATTCTAAAGCACATATCAAGGAGCTCGTTTTAAGGCCTGGATCCATGTGTATTTTTTATTATGTTCATGGTGGAGCATCCTGCTTAACAGGAGGAGGTTGTGCCAAACATACTAGTCAACACTTTCTCTGCTCTCTTTTTCTCATCATCTTCTCCTTCTTTCCCATCGCCCGGCTTGCCACAGGTTTGCCTGCTGTGTCTAAAAGTAGCAGCAGCAGCAACCCAGACTGACAGCAGCTCATTGGATCATTTGGATCAAGTGTAGCCTGGAGCCGGATGCTCCACAGGGCTTTACTGTACAAACAGGTGAAGCGGTGCAAGTGAAATGAGACACTGCTGTCGGACAACATGTGGTAATTTATAAATGTTTTAAATCAAGTTGGGTCCGGATTAGCCAGCCGGTGGGTCTGGATCCGCCCCACGGTCCGCTAATCCGTGACCTCTGCTTAAACCCTAAGGGGCGGAGTCAAATTTATGGCTCCATATTTTATTTATCAATCCAAGGTATCGAATTTAACCGTTTCAGATTATTAGGGAATTGAAGGAAAGAAAAACACAAAGAAAATCAGTGAACCAGCCTGGCTTGTTGGAAGCGCTGATGGGGAACAAGTCTTCTCTCCTAAAATAAAATGGCTGCAGGACTAAGATCTGAAGAGCTGGATGAAGGACAAGACTTCTGGGACAAGAAAAAGTTAATATTGTCCTTAAAAGTTTCATTCTAGATTATACAACTAACCCAGGGGTCGGCAACCCTCCACTCCGGAGCCCTATGGGGCTCTTTAAGGCCCTCCTTGTGGCTCCGGGGAGCTTTTTCAAAAATGTATGAAAATCCTTTGTTTTTTTTGTTTTTTGTTAATATGCTGTGCAGGAGGTCAAACTAAAATTTTGTTTTCCAATGCTGTAAACATTTGTATGATAAATAGGTGTAAACAATAATTGTAATCCTTTAGATTTTTAACATTACAATTTATATTTCTTCAAGCACACAACAGTTTAAAGCAAAGTTTAGTTTGAAAAGAATGTGCGGGAAGGATTGAAAAGCATGTTAACACGGTAATGTAGGCTTGAGTTCATTATCTGACGCATGCATATACACACCAGGAACCTGTAAACTTAAAAAATACTGAATTACAAAAAACATTTAAAAAACAAATATGTTTCATTGATATATATACAAAAATGAATATTAGGAACTACATTTATCAAACATTATATTGGGCAAGTAAAAATTGTTTCTGGGCAAATGAAATGTGAAAGTCACTTGCCCAAAGGGCAAGTGGTAAAAATCCTTTACGTCAACCCCTGACAAGGCTTTCTTTTTATTTTGTAAGGAACAAAATACTTTTTTATTTAACAAGAGACACATTCAGGAGCGACATATCATACAGTTTTGGAAACAGCAATGGGGAGATGAAATATTTTTCTCTCATGGATCTTCTCATTCTCTTGGAGTGATGGTATTTTTACGTATATTTCAAGGAAGGATAATTGTACACAAAAGTGATACAGGTGGCTTATAATGGTAGTAGAGATGAATAGTCAAAGATTTATTCTGCTTTGTGTGTATGCATATAACAACAGAACATTAATGGGGTCGCAATGCCAAATCCAAATTCATTCATAAATGATTGGAAAATCAGAAGGGATATCAAATCTGATATATCCACGTAGCATGTATGTGTCTCCAAAAGACATCATAATCAAAGAAACATAAGTTTATTTGGAGAAATTAAACGTTTATGTAAAAACACTGTTTTGGTCCATGGGCAAACAGATAGAGCAGCTCATTATCAGGGTTTTCACTGTCTCAGAGCTTATCCTGGAAATAAAAGCTTGAAATAATCTCAAGCTAAACAGAATGTCTTCCTGTTTTCTGCATCAACAGGAAGCAAAGTTTCAGCTCATTCAATCATTTTCCTGCTGCTGCTGGTCTTAACTTCTTTGATCAACCTTTTATTTCTTCAAGTTGGACTAAAATGTTTGCAGCTGCAGAATTTGACTTCCTCACCTTCTTGCACAATTTGGATGTGATCTAACCCTCTCTAAGTAGGTACTTCTGGAGAGGAAGCTCCAAGAACCTGGAGCAGGTTGGAGGGTCTGAATTTTCCTTTTGTCTAATCGCTGCACATGTTGGTAAACCTTTTCCGTGGGAAGCTGTGATGGAGAATGAGGTACAGGATCGGTTCCTGGGATCTCCAGTAGGTCTGTTAATCATAAGTGTTGTGATTCAATGTTCTTTTCTATTCCCAGAGTGATTCGAGCACTAATCATGGTCAAACAGTTAATTCTGCAAATACATGGAATAAATTCACCACA